ATTGTATAATCAGAAAAAGCAATAAAGATTTTTCATAGACAGACATGTCAAAAGAGTTTGCACTCATTGATAATGATGAAAATAAGAATAAAAATAAGAGGTCAATGATTTTTAAAAAATTGACCCAAATCGTTCAATTCTTTCCACTGAAATATAGAAACACCTTAGGAGGAGTCAGTTCTATTGCAGAATTTTAGAAGTTCCCTCTCATTATGTGGTGTTTATCTTTCTGATTGGGAAGTATGGACGCAGGGAGAGTCGGGGCCCGGGCACTAGGACGCCTGGATCCTCTTCCCATGTCTCCTGTGCACAGGCCGAACTCTCTGGAGGTCAGCAGATGCCATCTGTGCAGTGGGGGCCAGGCCAGACTGGACAGCTTTCAGGGTCCTTGCGGCTCGGTCACTGTGAGTTTGGGGAAAGGCTATTCCGTGTTCTGGGGCCGGAAGTCCACCTTTTACAGCGTGTCTTTGTTACAGGCTTTCCTGACGGCAGTCTTGGTGGAGTTCTACTCCTTCTCCAGCACGGATGAGCGACGGTGCCCCTGCCTTGCCTCTGGACATGCAGGGCTGCCGTCCCTCCACCAGCGAGCGCCGGGTGCCACGCCCACCGCCAGGCTCTATGAGATCTGATCTGTTAGGACCTCTCCCGCCTCCTCCACTGCTGTCAGCTCCTGTACCTGTTCCTCCTCACCTTCCTCATCTGCAGTTCCGTTTCTGCAGTAGGCGGGAAACCAGAAATCCAACCTTACTGAAGCTCTGCAGAGTCAACTTTGAGCAGGAGCTGCAAGGCTCTCCCGGTTGTGACGTTGTTTTTTACTTGCTTCAGGGCGCTCAGCTTGGGTGCTGGGTGACTGTGATTGGTGAGAGAGGGGTCACCAGTCAGGAGTTATGTCACCCAAACCCTCAGACTCCCAGATTAGAGAAGGTAGTTGAACCTGTTTGCAAAATATGGGCTTATGGTCTGTCCATTCTCTTCAGTCACTTTCCTCTTCCCCTTCTAAGTTGCTCTTGTTATACCTTATTCTATCTTGTGTTGTGGCTGTGTGTTTACAGTGATGAGGTTAAATTTATTTTTGGTGAATTTCTTCCTTTGATCTTTGAGTTTAGTATTTAAGTGGTTGCTAACCTATTCCGGTAAAGATCTACTATTTCTCTGATTTTGTCTACCTACTTTTCTCCTTCCTCCAAGCTTTGTGTTCCCTTTCTCTTCTTTTTTTCAGGCCTGAGGGCCTTCTTGAGTATTTCTTGTAGTGGGGGTCTCGTGGCCATGAACTCCCTTAGCTTTTGTTTATCTGGGAGAGTTACTATTTCTCCATCATATTTGAAGGATATTTTTGCTGGATAGAGTATTCTTGGCTGAAAGTTTTTGTCTTTCAGTATTTTGAATATATCATTCCAGTCTCTTCTAGCCTGAAAAGTTTCTGTTGAGAAATCCACTGAGAGCCTGATGGGAGTTTCTTTGTACGTTATTTTTTGTTTTTGTCTAGCTGCCCTTAATATTGTTTCTTTGTCGTTGACCCTGGCTAGCCTTACCACTAGGTGTCGTGGTGAAGGCCTTGTCTGTTAATATATATAGGTGTCCTGTTGGCTTCGCTTACTGGTATTTCCTGCTCCTTCCCCAGATTTGGGAAATTCTCAGCTATTATTTCCTTGAATAGGCTCTCTGTTCCTCTTTCCCTCTCCTCTCCCTCAGGAATACCTATAATTCTTATGTTACATTTTCTAATAGAGTCAGATATTTCTCGGAGCCTTTCTTCATTTCTTTTTAGTCTTAGTTCTCTCTCCTCTTCCATCTGGAGTATATCTGTATTCCTATCCTCTAAAGTACTAATTCTTTCCTCCATATTGTCAGCTCTGTTCTTTAAAGATGCCAGACTCTCCTTTGTCTCCTCCATTGTGTTCTTCATCTCCATCAGCACTGATTGGTTTTTCTTTATGATTTCAATCTCTTTTGTGAAGAAACTCCTAATCTCATTGAATTGTGTGTCTGTGTTGTCTCGTATTTCGTTGAGTGTTTTTATGATAGCTATTTTGAAATCTCTGTCATTTAGTTTATGGATTTCTGTGTCTTCGGCGTTGATTTCTGGGTGCTTGTCATTTTGTTTCTGGTCTGGTGATTTCATATATTTTTGCATTGTGGTTCCTGTGTTGGTTTTGTTTTTCCTCATCCTGGAAGTCTCTGGTTGCAATTTCCACCTGCCGCCACTGTCTGGTGGTAAAGGGCTGTGTAGTCTAAGCCCCCTGCACTCTGCCCTGGTTTTTCTGCTGCGATCCGCAGTTTTGTTTTTTTTTCCCCCGCTGCGATCCACGGGTCCAGTCTTTTGATCAGGTCTGCCTCGGATCACTAGGTCTGGTCTGGTCGAGCTGCAGAGTCCGGGTTGCGGGGAGGGGGGAGCTCTCTCTTTTGCCCTCTGGGTCCCTGACGTGGGAGGCTTCTCGTTTGCCCCTCTTTATCCGCTCTCTGGGGTGCTCAGATGTTGATGGTAGCCCTGTGGCTCATCTGAGTCCTCTGTGCGGGAGTTTCCCACTGGCTGAGAGAGTCCCAAGAGCCACGGTTTCCCTGCCGAGGGCTGCCCCTCCCCCCTCTCTGGGAGCCACGCGGACCGGCATCGCTGATCTGATGGGGAGGGAGCGGAGTTCTCCTTACCTCTCCCCACTTCCTCCGGGGGCCCAGCACGTTCCGCTCTCAGATGTGCGGCAGTGTGGATCCCTCCACTCTAGGTTTTCACTGTCTGGGATTCCGTTGTTGGTCTGTGACTGTTGCTTTTGTTGTATCTTGTCGGGGGAAGAGTTCACGGGAAAGCTCACTCCACCATGATGCTGACGTCACCTTTCATGGTCTGTCCATTCTCAAGAAAAGGAGGGAAGAAAAATCTAGGAGCTGGGAGCATATAGTCGTGTGATCTGTGGCTGTTGAAGAAACTCCTGTGAGATCCAGGCAGCAGGTCCCCCACTGCTGGAAAGCCCTGGAATGTGCTTTGCAGGAAAAAGCCCGGTGGGGTAGGTGACCTTCAGAGGGCCTCACCATGCTGAGTGCCAGCTCTCTTCAGTGCCCAGGCTGTGTGATCTGGGCTCCTGTGCCTTCCAGGAGGAAGGCAGCCGGGCAGCCAGGCTCTGACGGGAGTTGTGAGGGAGCACAGGGTGCTGAGATGGAGAGCAAGGACAGAGACCACCTATGCAAAAGGAGGCCCGAGGAGGGAGCTGGCCATCTGGAGAGCTGAGGGTCGAGATGAGACATGTTAGTCCTGGGAGGGGCTGCTGGCTGAAGGGTGTGAGCAAGGGGGAGGAGCGTCCATGAGGTGAGACACCAGGCCACGGTGCATGCCGAGGCCAGGAGAAGGAGTGGGTTTAATTCCAGATGCCCTAGGAGCCCTTGAAGTGCTTTGGCGGGGGTGGGGGGGGGTTACTTACTCCTCAAACCCTGCCCATTCCAAAGCAAGGCCTGTCTTCAGGACTGCCTTGATTCCTCCTGGGGGGCCTCTGAGCCCTTGGACACCCTGAGGTGTCCTTTGAACGCCCTTTGAACGCCCTTTGAACACCCAAGGCCCTGGGCCCCACAGTTTGACCAGAGAGCTCATGTTATCAGTGAACTGGTGAGTGCCTGTCTTTGTGTGCCCAGGCACAGTCCCTCTGTATAGTGACCTGGGCACTGGAGTCCGAGTGGCTAAGGTCCTCAGATGGGCACTCCATGCCTGTATGGCTGACCCCAGTAAAACCCTGGACCTGGTGAGCCTCCCTGGCTGGCAACACTTTGCACGTGTTGTCCCCCATCTTGCCCATCCCATACGCCTCCACGGGGAGAGACACCTGGGAGCTTGTGCTGGGCTCTCCTGGGCTCCGCCCCATGTGCCTTGTCCCTCTGCTCACTTCAATCTGTGTCCTTTCCTGGTAATAAACGGTGACCGTGAGTGTGACGGCTCTCCTGAGTCCTGTATGTTCTGGGAATCATCGAGCCTGAGGCTGCTCTCAGGAACCCTACACAGACGTGCACGTGGGAGCAGGGAGACGCCTACAGCTCAGTGTGGTCATCAGTCCTGTACACGCAGAGGTTCAGGGTGCATCCACGTATTCTACACTGCTCAAGCACTCGTACATCATTTCCTGAAGACCAACATTACAGTGCTTCCAAAAATACACATCTGTAACACGGCCTGGCCTCTGACAGTGGCCCGGGTCAGGTATTCACTTCAAACGCTGGCAGAATGTATCATCAGAGTACCCACCGTCAGAGCAATTTTAACATGTTCTTTAATATGCTTTTTGAAATGTTGTCCTTAGGGCTTACCCTACATTCCTTTTGTAGTGCTGGTCCTCACGTCATCCTGAACCGGCCTCGCCGTGACATTGCTGTTGTGCTGTTGGGCACGTGTGAGCAGAGCGGGTCTCCTCAGGTGCTCCACAGGCTCCTGAAGCACCATGCTCCCTGTGCGTCTCCATGTGGTGTTTTCTCCTGGGAGCATTTCACGCTCACTTGAGAGTGACCGTCAGGGATATGGATTTGCCACCTCTGCCACCTTCTCAACACCCAGAGACCCCACATGGAGTTTTCTGCACCTCAAAATGATTCTTCAACTGCCACGAGAAACGACAGAGCTTCAGCTCAGCAGAGCCAGCTGACGCCCCGCCGAGTTCTAAGTGGTGAGTTAGAGAGGGAAACGCCCAGCAGAGCCCGGGACCTCCGCAGGACGTACGGTTAGGAGCCTCGGCCAGCTGGGGAGGTTCTCTCCCCGGTAACACTCCTGTCAGGGCAGGCTGAAACCTTCGAGGGAGGGCGGGCGGCCATCCTAGGAGCGAACAGTTTTCATTTCGCATTTTGCTGGGAACATAACCTGGCATCTCTCCTGCAGGGGTGCTGAGATTCAGAACGATGCTTCTCCTGGGAGCCAGCGTACAGGAAGACAAAATTCCCAAATCTGAGGCAGCGTGAGCACCACCGATCCAGGTGCAGTGATTAACAGTCATTCCTGCGTCATCTCAACTTGTAAATTATTTCCCGTCTGCTATGAAAATGCCTTTACAAGCAACATTTTCAAATTATTAAATATAGAGTAGTTCACCAATCAATAAATCACCAAGTTATTCAGAGTAGGAGAAGGTCACGGCTGCTAAGAGGAAAATGATTCCCTTGGAAACAGACGACAGCGGGGAAGAGTCCCTCTCAGGAAGGGCGGGCTGGAACTGTCAGGGAGCCAAAACATCTCACAGGGCACTCCAGTTGCATTTTGCCCCCAATTATCTGTTATGTAAAACACTTCTGTATTTCACAGTTTAATGGGGTACATCTACTGGCTGTTATAACTAAACCAGAAATGTGTAACAGCTCAAAACCAGACTCTGTTGCTCACTCTTGAAAATCCAACACGGTCTTCCTGGATTGCATGCAGTTTTACTTCTGTGGCGGGTCATCTAGGGACCTGGCTCCCTCCTGGACACTCCCCTCTCCTGGACGCTCCCCTCCTCCCGGACGCTGCCCCCTCGTGGACGCTGCCCCCTCCTGGACGCTCCTGCCTCCTGGGCACTCCCCTCCTCCTGGGCGCTCCCCCATCCGGGACACTCCCCTTCCCCTGGACGCTCCCCCATCCGGGACGCTCCTCCCTCCTGGACACTCCCCTCCTCCTGGACGCGGCCCCCTCGTGGACACTGCCCCCTCCGGGACGCTCCTCCCTCCTGGACACTGCCCCCTCGTGGACGCTCCCCCCTCCGGGACGCTCCTCCCTCCTGGACACTGCCCCCTCGTGGACGCTCCCCCCTCCGGGACGCTCCTCCCTCCTGGGCGCTCCCCAGTCCTAGGCCCTCAGTGTCCTCTGCAGAGAGCTGGTGGCAGGAAGAGGCAGTGGACAAGCACACCCACACTGCTCTCCACGGTCCACTGGTGAGAACGCATCACAAGGCGCTCCTCGACGCAAGGGGGGCTGGGAAGTGTAGTCTCCGGTGTGGCAGCTACGCCTCTAACACTCTACACCGTGGAGGGGAGCACAGCCCTTGCTGGATGGCTAGCCTCCCCACCCCACAGGGCGAGGGACGTGCTGAGCACCTCTCCCATCTCAGAAATCCCACACCCTACACCAGAGGAGGGGCCATATCCCTTCAGGGTCACAGCTCCATGCTCTGGACTCGCGGGCTGGCTAGCAGGTACATAGGCTGACCCAGCCTCAAAAGTAGACGATAGGACAGGATTCGTTTTCTCCACTTGGCTCTCAACCATTTTAGAAAGGAATACAGCTTTAGGGACATAAGACTTCTTTAAAAATATTTTCAAAATATATTTATTTCTTTCCAATATGTATTTTGCAAAATTTCCAAGGTAAACATTAGCTCCATATACAGAAATAAAGGAGAGTTCTTTAAGAACGGGCACTGAATCAATCACAAGAATGATCAAATTTTGATAATGGAAAACTTGCATATTATCAAAACTAAAGAGCTTAAGTGAAGAGTTTTCTTTACAAAGATATCTCTCATTTAACCCCAAGCTCCCTCAGTGGACTCAAACCATCATCATATATGTACAGATATAAGAAAATACATCAACGTGGAGACAGCAGCTTAACACCCAACTCAAAGATTGCTTTAGTTCACATGTGGAAACCTCCCCATACGTATCTGGTGTTCCGCACTACTGACTTTTTTTTTTGCTGAGGAAGATTTGCCCTGAGCTAACATCTGTTGCCAATCTTCCGCTATTTTGTATGTGAGCCACCATCAGAGCGTGGCCACTGACGAGTGGTGTAGATCCTCGCCCAAGAACTGAACCCAGGCTGCCAAAGTGGAGCACACCGAACTTAACCACTAGGCCACCAGGGCTGGCCCTGCACTATTATTGACTTTTATGAGTTAGTTTGAAGTTGGCTTAAGAACATGTTCTCTTGAAGATAAATTTGGGATTTATATAAATCCCATAATTTGCTCAATTGTCACACTGTTAACTATACTAAATATGCAAAGAAATCATCGTGGATATTTTATTGTCTACATTTCTGCATCATCATCATCATCGTCATCGTCTTTGGCTCTGAAATGCATCTTCCTGAATTCTCGTCTGCTCATTGAAGGACAAGATGAAGACGCTGGTGGAAGGTCCTTGGGGGGAAGAAAACATTCGCTTCAGTCACAGTAACCCACCGGTGTTAGCACCTGCACTGGTAATTCGTCCCCTCTCGCAGGGCCAGGTCCCCACCCCCCGCAGACAGGGAAGTGACTCAGTCACAGCACCACTCTCCTGATGAGGGTTTACTCCCCATCAGGTTGATTGAGGGAAAGACAGAGGGTTAAAAACAAAAGCGAGCCCAGCAAGCATGGGGTAGCTGTTCACAAAACCACAGACACGATTCATAACCCTGCATGGAGTCCGGAGACACATGGCCGTCCACACCCAACCACGCCCCACAGGAGCTGCTCACCATGACGACAAGTCTCAGCTTGGGAGAGAGTGGGAGGGCCCGGATTAGCAAATGTTTTGTTTTGTCCTTCTGAGTTAACATTGTGATTGCACACTGACCTGGTATTGAGGCAATGCTGACCGTGCAGTAAACTGGGAGCACACACCGTGAGCGTGCAGTTGGCTGAGGGGCACCCTCCATCTTACCTGCATGAGCTCCACGTTTCCAAAGAATCGACTCACTGGCATCGGCTGATTGCTGTCGTCGTCTAGAAAGACGCTGTTGTCCATCTGAAGAGGGGGCGTTTGGACTTGCTCCGTCTCCAGCGCTGCCTCTTCCCGCACGGTGGAGCTGCTGTTCGATTCTTCTCCTGCGAGGGTGCTGTGCTTCGGCAGGGACAGGCCCTTTCCAGTCTCTGGTGAGCAGGTGTCACTCACAACTCTGCAGTGACCAAGGGGGAAGCCTGCAGTCTCCTGCTGCACGGAAACACGGGCTTCCTCTCCCGGACACAAGGCACCGGCCTCGGCAAACCCCTGAGGCTCGTTCTCACAAGTGCTCTCAGGCGGGGCCTTGGGCAAAGCGGCGCTATGGCTCTTAGGGACCAGTTTCTGTAATTCCGATTTCACAAGATGACCTTTGTCATACTTGAACTTCTTGGAGGTTCGCCTGTCGGCGGCTTTGTGTGACAAGGGAGTCTGTCAGGAAGAAAAAGGCGAGGGAAAACCAGACACATCTGGGATTACAAAGAGGACAGCAAATAAAAGTCTTAACCCCTGAGCCTAGAATTCCGCTCACATCTCAACAATGGAGACGCTGCACCACCCGTCTACCATAGGGTCGTTTCACCGTCCCCCACCAAAGGGACAGAATCCACATGGGAGGGGATCTGGACACACCCAGCACTGCTCCTACGCCTGCTGCTGCCCTGGGGGGCCATACGTCCCGAGGCAAACTCAGAAGCATGTGTGACGTGATAAAATTATAACAAAGCATCCAGTTTGCATTCCTCTCTGCTAGACCCACGTGAAGGCAAGGATCTGTGCCTCACGGCACCGAGTAGGTGCTCAACAAGTATTGGTTAAACAGACTTCAACACAGTTGAACGAGCAGTGGACTGTGAGTGAAACTCCGCTAGTTGCTGGTGTAAAACCAAGTCCCAACCACACCCCTGAGCAGGGGTTCCCTGAAGCAGATGGACCTTATGAGCAACTTCGGGAACTAGGCCTGCCCGGCCACCACTGCTGCATCATCCTGAACGGCAGACACGGGCTCCTCTCCCCAGCCCACTCGCCCTTTCTGTGAAAGCCTGTAGGGTGAAGAGCATGGCACCATGCCAGCATCACTCAGAAGATGGCACTGGAAGGAGAACGATGCAAAGGTGCCCTTGGAGACTGAGTCGGAGGCACACACACCCATCTGTGGGCCAACACCTGGAAAGCAACCCTCCGGATTGGAAAACATCTTTCTCTGAAAGCAGTGACAGCACTGTTACCTTCTCCTTGGCATATGAACAACACTCAATGTTCTTCTAACACAACACATCTTGAAGTGAGAAGTCTGTATACAAACGCACACACAGTCAAGATCTTGGTGTCTTCATGGTCACAAGCTCACCTGACATACTGTCCTGGCAGACGTGGTGATGTTGACTTCCTGAGCAGAGGCCAACCTGGCTGAGCAACTTCGGGCTCTTAGACGTGCTGAGGACCGCACTCCACCTGCGAGCTAGACCAGATCCAAAGGCCAGTCAGAACATGCTCTCATGAAAGGAACACGAGTATGGAAATGGAGGTTTCCTAACTACAGAAAAAACCCCAAGGCAGTCCCTCCCACCGGCCATGGTTTTATCATATTTATGGAAAGACACCTGTGGCCTAAATGTGCAAATTCAAACAAAACTCTGGGTTTAAGATGCAAGATCTACTCTTCCCATGATCTTGGAAGCCTGTGGCAACTTGTCCCCCTCATCCTATGCATTTCCAGGAATACGAGGTCAACTTCAAACGTGTTTAGAACAAGCAGCACATATCTTGTCTCAGAAGTTCTTGAACTTTTTATATTGTGTCTAAGTTCTTTTTTTTTTTTTTTTGGTGAGGAAAATCAGCCCTGAGCTAACATCCATGCCAATCATCCTTTTTGCTGAGGAAGACCAACCCTGGGCTAACATCTGTGCCCATCTTCCTCCACTTTATATGGGACGCTGCCACAGCATGGCTTGACAAGCGGTGCGTCGGTGCGCGCCCAGGATCTGAACCCAGGCTGCCAGCAGCAGAGTGCATGCCCTTAACCACTGTCACGGGGCCGGCCCCGTGTCTAAGTTCTTGATAAAAGGTAACATGAAAAAACAAAATCCAACTCCTGCCCTCCTAACTCCCTTCTTCAAATTATAGGTGGAACCAGTCCTAATTCTATTACCTTAAAGCAGTTAACGTCTGTCTGACCAATCTTTTTTTTTTAAGATTTTATTTATTTATTTTATTTTCTCCCAAAGCCCCAGTACATAGTTGTTCGTCATAGCTGCACATTCTTCTAGTTGCTGTATGTGGGACGCGGCCTCAGCATGGCCGGAGAAGTGGTGCGTCAGTGCGCGCCCAGGATCCGAACCTGGGCCGCCAGCAGCAGAGCGCGCGCACTTAACCACTAAGCCACGGGGCCGGCCCATGTCTGACCAATCTTAACGTTAACAAATTGGTCCATCTCTATTTTATTCTGAATGCAAAGTCTTCTCATAACAAGAAAGGAATTAATAAAAAAATAAGAAAACTTAACATAATTTTACTTAGGAATAATTTTAGGTTTTCAAAAATAGTAAAGGGAGTTCCCATACATGCTTCCCTAATGTTAAACGACCATGGTACATCTGTCAAAACTGAGAAATGAGCGTTGGTGCAACACTGTTACCTAAACGACAGACTGCATCTGAATTTCATCAGTTTTTCCACTAATTCCTTTTTTCTGTTCCAGAATGGATACCACATACACTTAGAAAATAATACATTTAAAGCTTAACTTAAAACTTGAAAATAGTGACAGTGAGTGATAAAGAGACGGGCAGACGTTGTAGGTGAAGGGCTTGACAGCAGCCCTCAGGACAGGCTCTAGAACTGGGACCCCAGAGCGGCTGGATGAAGGACACCGCGTGCAACAGAAATCAAAAAGGAGAGCAGCTAGTTAGAAATCTTGGCAATGGCGTCTCATCCATTCCCACCCGCAGCCCGTGGCCTGTGATGCCTCCAGAGGCCCCTGGAGGGGGCAGCTCACCAAGGCTGCGGGATACCACGCAGTTCCCAGAGAGCATTTAAAAGGGAGGGAAAGAATACGCGGCCACCTGCAGAAGGCTCAGGCCCCACCCAGCTGTAGGCCGTACCAACAAGGGGCGCAGGGCCAGGAAAAGGGCCTGCTGCTGTGGGTGCACCCAGGTTGGGCTTGCTTTGTCTCAAGAGCTGGGGTGTGCTGAAGGAGCCCCATCACACTGGAGGAACTGAGCCTAGAGGTTACTGAACCTCTCTCGTGGGACAAGATGCTACCACCTAGCCCCCGCAGCACTGTCACTTCCATGGTAGGGAATGGACGTTCTTGGTCGCAGGCCCCTGACTCTCCTCTCCTTCCTGTTACGAGTCCTACTCCAAACATGTTTGTACCGGGGTGTGCTCGGCTCTCTGGGGGGGACTGGTCCTGACGACAGCTGTGCTGTCTCTGAGTGGTGATGCACCAGGCTCTGTGCTTGGCACCTGAACAGCTTTAAAAGGAGCAGTGCCCCCACTTTAGATGAGGATGGCTCCGGCGAGAAACTGTCTGATGTCACACAAGTGATGTCTGGCTTCCAAGTCCCTCTCTCCCTGCTTCATCACCCATGGCTCTCCCCAGATATGAGCTCCAGGAGCTGCCCACAGGAAGCTGCTGGGCTGCCTGCAGAGGGACTGAACAGAGAGACTGTCTTCCTGGCTCTGTGGTTTGATAAATAAATGGCAAGCAATAGGATATACTGGAGCATACGAGGAAGCCATTTGGTGTAAAACTAATTTGGCCTGAGTTTGTTTTTCCAAAAGGGCCTGTCGCCTGCATTGTGTATCTGCTTTGCCATGTCCCAAAGAGAAGAGTAAATGCCCTTAAGACAAGGATGCAACTTCCCCCACATTGGCATTTCCTTAAGGATAAGCATTTCTCCCTAGGCTAGGATTTGATTGCTGTGCTCATCCTGTGACCACCCAACTTGAAACAACAGACCTGCTACCTGCCACGGCCATCGAGACAACAGACCTGCTACCCGCTGTGTCCATCAATAGCTATACTGAAAGGGCAATCTTGTGACTATTGTCATTGTGACATTGCAATCATATGTGATACACACTCTTTGACAGTATATAACAGCTCTGTACACCCCACTTTGGTGCCCTTCCTTCCTTGGGGAAGGAAGGCCCTGGGCTATATGGTCCTCAAAAGTTGGCTCATAATAAACTCACCCCAATTTTGATTTATAGATTGATTATGGATTATTTGAGTTGACAGGTTCTAAACTGGACAGATCCTTCTCTAGTAGCAGTGGCCTTCTAGATGCTTCCTACCATAACCTTTTAAACAGTGGTCCTGCAATCTTAGGGTGCAACAGGCCTCTCTGCAGAGGTGAACTCGGTGGGTCTGGGCTGAGGCCCGTGAGCTGCGGTTGTCACAGGCACCTGAGGAGGCCATCTGTCATCTACTCTAGATTTGCAAGAGTCGAATCTGGTAGCATTTTGGCTTTAGTTTAATCATGGGTAAAACCATCTCAAGGTGCCAGCTTCAAATGTCAAGAATCTAGTACATTTTTTCTAACTCGGAGAGGTGTTGCTCTTCAGCTGGGCAACCTGACTGCTTCTATGTAAACATCCCCAAATGAGAAACTTTCCGTCATCGAGGTCTTCTTCCTTCCAAGAGACTGCTTAAAAACCAGGACGTCAAAGACAAAAATACGGTTTCCCAAAAAGGGCAGGAAGAGAGCAACTTCCCACACAACAGCATGAGGACTCTGTGGACCCTCCCAGTGACGCCGGTGCAGTGTAGTCACCACAACCATTTACAGACTTTGGAAATGGGCCTCTGGGCAAACAACAAATGAAGAAAGTTGCTCAAGAACACCTACAAAAATTCAGAACAAAGGCGCGAGCCTGTGGTATCTGAACTCCGGAAAGGCCAAGCCAAGAACACAGGGCACCTCCCCCAGACTCCCAGTGGGAGGGCTTTCTTCCCAGGGGAGTGGAACAGCAGTGCTTCTCATCCTGCCCTCGCCTTGCCTGTTGTGAGGCTGTCCTGAGTGAGTGTGGTTGAGAGGAGGGGGCGCCCTTCTGCCCAGACCCCTCTTGTGGAATAGAGGCTCCACGGGGGCCCCATCACCCCTGCCCCTGCTTGTGAGGCAGTGGTTCCAGGCCAGGAGAGGCAAGCTGAGCGGATCTCAGGCTACTGCCCACTGTCACCCTCCCCCGAGCACTCAGCTCCTAGAGCAGGAGTGTCATACAGAGAAGTCTGTCACCGTCTCCAGCTACAAAATCCTGGTTCAGAGATTTTGCTTGGGGGAGAGGCGAGCATCAAAACAGAGAGCTCTTAATCTCTTCCCAAATGAAATGACTTCATTTGCAGCAGAGTATGGAGAAGTTTGTGCCTAAGGGGGCTCTCAAGAACAGTAGAGGTTGTGATGAAAGGCAGCTGGGAGGAGAATCAACATAAACAGTAGGCCAGCTAGTCTGCAGCCGGGAACCAGGGAATAACACAGCTGGAGGCGTCCTCCTGGGTTCAGAACAAATATCAAACACTGACCTTAGAAACTACTCCTTTAAAGAAGCCAGACTGTGACTGCATTAGTTTGTAAAGCAATTATGCCCCAGGTCATTGTTGAAAACAAGTGAGTAATCAGCAGGCAATTAATGGAGTTTAACAGCAGGGTGCGGTCAGAGAAAGAGAGGAGGAGGGCCCTCTCCTAAAACCCCTATCATCCCAGGGTGACCATGGGCGGACTCAGTGGTGCCCCGGAGGAGCGCCATCAGACCTGCACACTGAGGGAGAGGAACAGACTCCACCAGAATAATCCAGCCAGTCACTACTAATAACTAAACAAGTATATTGACAATAACAAGCCCCAGGGGGGCTTGTGGGGGGGACCCATACCCAGAGTTGCTACAACATATTACCTAAAATGTCCAGTTTTCAACAAAAACTTATGAAGCATGCAAGGAAACAGGAAAGCAGACCCATATGCTGGAATAAAAGCAGGCAAGAGAGCTGCCTGTGAGAGTGACCAGATGTTGGATTTATCAGAAAAAGACTTCACAAAGTAGACTTTATAAACATGTTCAAGAGCGAAAAGAAACTATGATTAAAGACATTAAAGACGTAAAGATCTGATGACAACGTTGTGTCAAATAAATATCAATAAAAATACTGATATATATAATTATAAAAAATTATATATATATAATTATAAAAAAGAGCCAAATGGAAATTCTGGAGTTGAAAAGTATAACAAATAAAACATTCACTAGAGGGGCCCAACAGTAGACATGAAGTTGCAGAAGGAAAGTGAACCTGAAGACAGATTGATAGATTATACAAGCTGAAGAAGAGAGAGAAAAGAATGAAGAAAAATGAAGAGTCTTAGAGAAATGTTGGTTACTGTTAAGTGTACCAACACACGTGTAATGGGAGTACCAGAAAGAAAGGAGAGAGAGGAGCAGAAAAAACATTTAAAGAAATAATGGCTGAAAACTTCCCAAATTTACTGAAAAACAACTACCTTCACATCCAGGAATCTCAAAGAACTGAACTCCAAGTAGGATAAGTGTAAAGAGATCCACAAATGGACATCATTGTAAAAATACTGAAAGCCAAAGACAAGGAGAAAATCTTGAAAGCACCAAGAGGAAAGTGACTCCTTACTTATAAGGGAAGCCCGATCAACAAACCACTGACTTAGCAACACAAACAGTAGGTATGTTCACACACTTTCAAAGTTCTCAAAGAATAAAACTGTCAACCAAGAATCCTATATCCAGCAAAGCTATCCTTCAAAAATGAAGGCAAAATAGACACTTCCAGATAAACAAAAACCGAGAGAATTCGTTGCCAGCAGACCCACCTGACAAGAAACACTAAAGGAAGTTCTTGAGGCTTAAAGCAAGTGATACCAGATAGCAATTCAAATCCACAGAAAAAACGAGAGCACCAGTAAAGGTCATGACTTCCTTTCAGAAGACAGTTTACATGCATATTATCTCGTTCTCTTAACTGACTTGGAAAGCAACTGTATACAATATTATGTATACAATGTATACAGGAATGTGCTATATTTGCCAATAGCAGCGCAAAGGAGTTGAGTGGGAGCAAAGCTGTACTGGGCGAAGGAAATGACTACAGATGGTAAAGTAATCTTGACAACATATTACTGGATTTGTAACAATAATAGGCGTAATATTTACAACAACATATCAAAACAATAGGTAAAGGAAATAGAGCTATATAGGAGTAACATTTCTATCTCTCTGGAATTAAGCTAGTACAAATCTGAAGCTGATTCCACTAAGTCACAATGTCTATGTTAAATCTAGAGCAACCACTGGAAAAAAAATTTTGAAAAACTAGTGAAAAAATCAATAAATTAAAATGCTACATTAGAAAATATTCACTTTAATCCACTCAAACAAGGAACAGGAGAACTAAACAGAGACACATATAAAGAAAACAAAATATAAAGTCGTATATGTGCATCCAACTATGTCAATAACATTAAATGCGAAGGGGGTAAACAATTCAAGACCAAGGCAGAGATGAAAGTCAGACGGGGGAAAAACCACCACCACCAAGACCCCACCGTATGCTGCCCACAGGAGACACGCTGTAGGTTCAAAGCTGCAAACGGCAAAAGGAGAGGAGTTGAGATTCACTCCTGAGCAAACCAGGAGAGCCCGGGTGCAGCGCGCACGCCCCAGGAGGCCGCCAGCCCAGGCCGCCGCGGCAGCGACCCTCCCTGGGCGGGGTGCTCGGTGGCCCGGTCACACCGCTCGCCAGCCACCGAAGGCCAGGAACTGGCACCTCCCTCATCCGTCACCACCCTCTGCGGTGGACCCCTCATCACCGCCCGGGCACACGAGGTAACTGGTGCCAAGCTGAGGTCACATGCTGAGCGACCTGGGACTCGGTGGTGGCAGTGGAATGACACCAAGCCCTGGCCTGGCAGCTGGAAACCTGGGAGTCCAGACCAGCTCTGGGGGAGAGCCCCCCATCCCGGGAGGTAACCTGGGACCCCCAGCCCAGAGGCGTGACTCGGGACCTCCTTCCTGGGGCTGAGGTCCGAGAACCCCCGTTCCCGGGGACGGGGTCCAGGACGCCGCTCCCGGGGGCGTGGCCTCGAAACCCCCATCCCGCGGGCGAGGCGCCGGCAGAGGCCGTCCCTCGGCCCGAGGCGTCCGTGGCTCTTCCGCAGCTCCCCAGAAAACCGGCGGCCGGAGCCCCCGCCTCGGCCGCTCACCTTCCGGCTCCTCATGAGTGTGAGCGGCGCGCTGCCGCCCCCAGCGCTGCCGCCCAGCCCCTCGCCCGGCCTAACGCTCTCCAGCAGAGCAGCAACCAGCCGCCCTCGGCCCACGCCGCGGCGTCTGACGTCACCAGGGAATTGACCAACCACAGTCCGGCGTCCCCAGGCATGTGACCCCAACAAAGTTGGCGCTTTACGTAGGGGGCGGGGAGGACGGCCATGTTTGTGAGGGGCACCTCGGTCGCTGCCTCTGCGGTGGCCATGTTTGTGAGGGGCACCACCCTCGCTGCGTCTGGCGGCCGCGTTTAAGAGGGGCGGCGGCCATGTTTGTGAGGGGCACCTCCCTTGCAGTCCCTGGCCACGTGTCTGGAGGAGGGCGGGCAGTGACTGTCCGCGGTGGTATGTTTCGCGCTGGCCGGACAGGCGATTTCTCCAGGCCCAGCCTTGGTTTCCGAGCGCTGTGAGCTGTGCTGGAGTCCGCTCGGCCTAGGGGCTGGCTGAAGCCCCCTGCCCTTGGAGGTGGGGCCGCGAGGCCCCGGGGTGCTCTATGTCTCTTTCCGGGGGCCTTTGCCCTCATCACCCTCTGTAACGGCCGAGCTGCCCGCCCGTGCAGTGGTTCCACTGCACTCCCAATATGCAAGCGAGGGCTGAGCCTTGGGCGGGTGGAGGTCCTGGGGGCCCGGCCGGAGCGGTGTGGGGTGGGGCCTGGCCTGGGATGAGTGTGGCTGCACGGCTGAACCCCAGCCCTCGACCCTGTCCCTCTTCTGCTGGTCTTGGAAAGGCTCCTTGCCCTCGGTGGGAATGGAATGCACAACAGCTGGCCACTCTTCCTTCTCCTGGCGAGCTCCGCTAGGAACAGCCACATTCTTCGTGGCATTTAGCCCCTCGACCCGTGCTTCTCTCTGCGTCCCTCGTCTGCTACAGTGAGAACGGGCTCCTGGGGAGCTGCCTGATTCCCTTGCCAAAGGCCCTGGTAACGACCGGGCCCTTGTCATCTCAGGGAGGTAACTTAAAGCCAGACGACCGTGTCTCAGTTTTTGAGAGTGTTAGAAATAAAGATGAAATCCAGCTTTGTCCTTAAACACTGCAGGCCCCCAGTTCTCTGGCTCTAGGCCGTGTGCCTCAGAAAAGGACGTGGTGGGCTACCGAACCCTTTCGAGGCTGGGGGACACCCAGTGCTCCCCTCTAACCTCAGATGGCTGGCCACCTCTCCAGCAACCACGCGGAGCTGCTTCTCATAAACACACTCAGTAACCACAGCCTGCCTGGCAAAGAAACCAGAGTGCTGTGTCCTTTTTTTGTTACTTTGTTGCAGGTGAGAACATTTAAATCAAGCAGTCTTGTCAGATGCATTAGATTTTCCAGTTAAACTGTAGAGGTTGAAAAGTGAACCTGTTATGCTGCAGCCTCAACATACCCCTTGAGGTTCCCTTCCGTGCAGTGTTCCATGGCGGAGGGGGATTCATATTCTCTTCCCAAAGCATCGGTGTGCTCTCCTCTTATGGAATGACTCCCTCAAAGCCTGGAAATACAGTTGATGCCTCTTTTTAGTGCATAAAAAGTGAGAGTACTTAAGGATCCCTCCAGCTCTTCCCTGCTGTGTAGACTGCCTTCTCTCTTTAGAAGTGCATCCGGGGGTAATTGGGTGGAGCCCTGCAGTTAGACTGCACCAGGGGTTTTGCTTTTGGCAGTGAGTGAAGACACATGCAGTGTTAGTGTACACACACATACACGCACACACTCACTTACCTGGCGGTTGTATCCTCCTTCCTTCCCGGCCTGTGCTTCTCACTGTGTTCTTTTCCATGGCATACACAGAAGGGAAAAGACGAATGTGGACTGGCAGGAAATCCATTTGAAAAGGAAACTAATATAATCACTGCCAGCTGTTAAGAAAAAACCAAAGTGATACTGTATTAAACACCTAACCTGCCCCATTTTCACTGAAATTGGTTTCATAATAAGCTGAGTTCACTGGTGGTTTGGAATTCTTCAGCTCTCTAAGTTCTCATCAACTAGGAGTTGATTGCTGCAAGCCAGTTTTTGGCTCTGCAGCTGTTTATGGTTAGTGTCAGTTGCCATAAATACTGCACTGCGTCCGCGTGCTGGGTTGGTCTCTCAGTGTGTCCAGAGTCCAGCATCCCAAAGGGAACTCCTGACCTCTCCTCACAAATATGCTCTGCTCCCCCCTCCCTCCCACCTCTAGTTTATGTGAATGGTTTTTCCAGCCTCCCAGTTGCTCAGGCCTGACACGCAGGGCCATCCTTGACAGCTCTCTCTCACTCTCTCATTGCCCACATCCAATCGGAGACCATTCCTGCTAATTGTAGACTGCAAAGCCTCACAGCTGGTCCCCCTTCTCCTCTGGCCTGTAATGCCCGTGGCACTGGGTGATCACTTATCAGTGGTGGCCTGACCCCCTGCTAAAGCTCTTTGGTGCTTCCCCACTGCTTCAAGGATCAAGACCAACTGTCTTCATATGACCTGTGGGGCCCAGCACAGTGCCTGACACACAGTAGGTGCTCAATGAATGTTGAATGAATGTACAGGAAGCCCTGTGAGGTTGCCCACCACTGCCCCTTCTCTAGACTCATCTGGCCCCGCTGTCCTCTCCCCTCACCATCTGCTGTCCACACTGCTCCCCTCTCAGCCCCCGGATCACAGCAAAGCTCCTCCCCGCCTGCAAGCGATGTTCTCTCTGCTTGAGAAACCTTGTCTCCCTAGCCACCCCTCCATTTTGCCTGGTGAATCCACTCTTCAAACCTCAACTCAGCTTCAATTTTATGTCCTCGGGGGACATTACCAGATGCCCCCCACGCCCCAAATTCAATCGGCTCACTAGAGCTTTCTGAGCATTCTGCAGTTTCCTTCAGGACGGACTGGCGGGTGGGGCTCTTTTCTCTCCCTCTCCCGGAGCGTGGCTCCTTCCTTCCTTCCTTCACTCCTTCAACATGTGTTTGCTGAGCTCCCGCTGTGTGCCTAGGGCTGAGCTAGGCCCGGGGTCACAGTGGGTGGGCTCAAGCGAGACGGGGGCCCTGCCTTTTTAGTGCTTTTAGTCCTGTGGGGGACGGGCGTTGGTGGAATAATCACGGGAGGAATTGTAAACTTGCCTAAGTGAGAAGAGCCGCAGGGGAGAAGCCACATCAGGGCACAGCACGCAGGTGGGGTGGGGACGCCAGGTCTGCTCAGGGAGGTCAGATAAGGCTCCTTGGAGGAAGTGACATTGGAGGTTGTCAGGATTCACCTCTTCCTTCCAGGACCAAGCTCCTTGCAAGCCCAGCAGGAGGAAGCAGGCGGAAACTCAGTAAGTATTGATGTCCAGTGGAGTCCCCTCAACGAGGCCGGGCACCTGACCCAGCGAAGCAGCCGCTCTCGACTCCCTCACTCTCCCCCACCTCCCAGGCCGCCACGCTGGGATGCAGTCCATCGTGGAGGGCACGCAGCTCACCCAGAACCAAAGCTCACGCCTCTGCATGTCTTTTTGGGTTCCTCACGTGCACTTCATTTCTCTTTTTCTTCCTGATCAACTGTACCCCCTTACTTCCAGGGTTAGGGGCACAATGAGGGGCGTCCTCATAATGGGGGACGTTTGTGCAGTCCTTGTTTGTGGTCAGTCCCCCACGTGGCTTGTGAGCTCCCTGAAGGCGGGACTGTGTTTTGCTCAGAACCGTGGTCCCAGAATCCAGCACGGTGGCTGGGACAGGCTGGGAGGCGCTCAGAAAATATCTCTTGAATGAATGGATGGTGGTGACAATACATACAAAGAAAGTGAAGGTTGAAGATTCTGAGGAAACTTGGTATTCTTGCCCATGATGCAAATTCACTGCTTAAACACTGGTGTGTCCACAACTCAGTGTTTGCCTTTCACGAACGCTGCGGGGCTGGCGAGAAAGCTGAGGAGAACTTTCAGCTGATCAATAGTTGGTAGATTCATTAACTGGGGCCACCCCGGTCTGGAGCTTGTCTCATTCCTGCCACAGATTGTGGCCGACATAATGAGGGATTATCTCTGATACACTCACCCTTATATTTAAAAGAAAGATGTAATAGTTTTTTAAAAAGCAAGAGAAAACCACAGCAAAAAAAAAGCTCACAGTAGGACGTGGAGCATCAGGACCTTCACTTGCTGCTGGCGGGATGCAGAATGGTGCCGCCGTTCTGGAAGACAGTGGGCAGATTCTTACCACACTAAATACGCTCTAACCGTATGATCCAGCCATTGTGCTCCTTAGTATTTACTCAAAGGAGGCGAAAACTTTTGTCCACATAAAACTCTGCACAAGGATGTTTATAGCAGCTTCATTGATAATTGCTAAGACTTGGAAGCAATTGTGATGTCCTTCAGTAGGTGAATGGATAAATAAATTGTGGTCCATCCAGACTATGGAATATTATTCAGTGCTAAAAAGAAATGAGCTATCAAGCCATGAAAAGATATGGAGGAACCTTAAAAGCATATTACTGAATGAAAGAATTCAATCTGAAAAGGCTACATGCTGTATGATTCCAACTGTGTGACATTCTGGAAAAGGCAAAACTATGGAGCCAGTAAAAAGATCAGTGGGTGCTGGGGGTTAGCAGGAAGGAAGAGGTGAATAGGTGGGGCACAGAGGATTTTTAGGGCAGTGGAAATACTCTGCACGATACCAGAATGATGGCTACGTGTCGTTATAAACTTGTCCAAACTTGTAGAATGGTCACCATCAAGAGTGACCCTAATGTAAAGTGTGGACTTTGGGTGATAATGACGTGTCAGTGTAGGTTCATGGACTGTAACCAAAGTCCCGTTCTGGCGGGGATGTCGATAGTGGGGATGCTGTGCATGTGTGGGGGCAAGGGTTGTATGGGAAATCTCTGTACCTTCTCAATTTTGCAGTGAACCTAAAACTGCTCTAAAGAATAAAGTCTATTTTAAAAACTATGTGATAAATTTCAGCATTGATTTTAAAAAAAGAAAAAGCTCACAGCCTGATTTTTTTAATGTTCTGTCTTGATTGACTTGAATGAAACTTCTTTAGTAGCTCACCCTGACTGGGCCGGGCAGTCATAACCCTACAGTAGGACAGCTGGCCACTGTTGAGAAGCTCTTATTCGTCACGTGAGTCAGTCCCA